TTTCGCTTATCCGACGTTCTGCCGGCCCATTTATGTCAGATAAGCGAGACTCTACTGTATTAAGATTATTGTATATTGTAATTTTAATTGATGTTTACTGTTCCATAAACTGCCCAGAGTCGTTTCAACGAGATGGGTGGTGACAAATCTGATATATAAATAAATAAAATAAATGAATTTTGCTTAAAAATTCAAGGATCAGCTTATCTGTGGATGGGCTTATACATGAGTATACGCAGTATATATTTTTACACAAATCAGAAATGGTAAAGAATAAATTCAAAAAGCGATAGGCAAGAACTTTGGATTAACCTATGGTTCCCTTTCTTCTTTCTCTTCTCCCCCCCACCATCCCAACACACACCATCAATTTTTTAGGCGTTGACAGGCTGGATAAAGATCTCACCATTGGCCAGATGCAAGGTAAAATTGTTAGCTTTCCGGTCCAAGATGGGTTTTCAAGGTGATAGGAGGGCTTGCTTTAAAAGAGCTGTTACTCCGGGCAAAGGGAAGGCATTCGCTTTTAATAAATTGGTTAGTCAGAAAAGGGGCTACCGAACTTCGCCTGATTTTTGTCAAGTATGCAGTTTGTTACTGTATGATACATTCTTCTTCTTTGGGTGTTTGTTATACTTCACAAACAAACGAACCACTGCTTATTATTAATAGCCACGTTGGCCAGGCAAGCGAGGTCCTTTCTAATCCTTTGTGCCACACAAAGTGCCAAATCTCCATGTCCTTAGGCAAATACGCGTCTTCTCCTTAATTTGCCAATTTTATTTTCCTGCAGTTGGCGTAGAAAGTAGCTTGAGCTCTCCCAATTTTTTTTTTTTTAATCCAGGATCTGTGATATCACCCAGATGTAGGTGAAGCCAACACCCTTTCCTCAGTTTGTTTTTTTTAATTTTAATTCTGTTTTATTTATGCCTTCGAGCCAGTCGTGATCCCTGGAGACTGCCTGGGCTAGTCCCCGCCGTTATCTTGGCAATGTTTTCGGAAGTGCTCGGCCCTGGCTGCCTTCTTCCTGGGCCGGGAGAGGGGGGCTGGCCCAAAGTCCCCCAGCTGGTTCTCTGCCCAAGGCAGCACTCAAACTCACCAACTCCCGGTTTCTAGCCCAGTGCCTTAACCACTGGCCCAAACTGGCTCTCTTTCCCCCTCACCTGCAGGGAAATTCCAGATACAGGTCCTGCCACAGTGTGGCCACGCAGTCCACGAGGATGCTCCAGACAAAGTGAGTAGCGGAAGCGTTTGTTTGGCCTGCCCTCCCCTCTCCCTGCTGGACCCCAAACTAGGTTGCCCTGCTGGGCTTGTTCAAGGGGGCACCTAAGCCAGGCTCCCCCAAGCTGGTTGCCCTCCAGGTGGGTGGCCTTCAGCCCCCAGAATTTGCTAACCAGCAGGGCCGTCGTTGAGCATTCTGGCAGCAGAAGTCCACCCATCCGGCCGGTGCTCCAGTCGGAGAGGCTCGATCTGCTTGTGCGGACAGTCCTTTTGGGTGAGAGAAAGGAAGGTGCGGAGTACAGAGTTCCCAAAATGTTGGGGAGGGGCTGACCCAGCTCCAAGGGGGAAAAGGGGCCCCCCTTCATCTCTGGCCGCACCTCTTTCCCTTTCAGGTTGCCGAAGCCGTTGCAACGTTCTTGGTCCGTCACAGGTTTACAGAGCCCATTGGCGGATTTCAGTGGTAAGGCTGGAGGTGGGGACGGGAACGGCAGCCCCTCCCCACCCTGGACTGCCTTGAGGCAGCTGTTCCCGCAGGAGCCTCCAGATGTGTGGAGATGCTGGTTCTCGGCTGCTTTCTATTTTCTGCTCTTTTTTGTTTTCGGTGTTTCTCGTATCTGAAACGTACCTTTGACAGAAATGGTCAAAGCTGCTATTGCTTTGGGTTGGTTTTTATCAAACCAAGGATGCTTTAAGTTTAGACAGACTGAAAGCTGCCAAGAGTCGTTTTGATTGCAGCAGGGTAGAAGCGGGATTAATAAATAAATAAGCTATGATTAGCTGGATTCACACCTTGCCTTTTGCCATCCAGTAGAGTCGGGCAGCATTCAGGACCACAAGCTTCCCGTTACTTCCTTTTTGGCAACAGTGTCTGGCCGTCATTGCTGAACCCTGGCAGTGCTTTAATGACATAAAAGCCCTGAAATGAACAGTTTAAATAATAATAATAATAACCCAGCAGAGAAAGAAGGGAAAACAGCCACCCTTCCATCCGGTCTCCAAGAAGGGCTCAGGGCCTGTTCCAAAAACATGCAGCTGCTGAGTGCTGAAAGTTGCCTCCCCCTCCCTGCAGTAAATCGTGGCTTATAATCCACCGTGGGTGTCTTCACACAACACAGCAACCCCAACCAGATCAGCACAAGGGGGGAGGCTGGGGAAAGGTAGCCCTCCGATTCTGTTGAGGGTGACCAGCTAATATTTTTCCTCTCTCTCTCTCTCTCTCCCCCTTCGTAGCGTTTTTCCTGCTTGTTAGTAACCTGATGGTCCTTCTGCACCAACCCCTCTTGTAAATAAAACGACATCGGAAGCACCGTGGCATGTTCCGTATCCTTCCCATCACCCCGGTTCCGTCATCAGCTCCGGCCCATCGGCGCAAATCTCATCGCGTAGAACTTGGTCCCCGGCTCGGTCGGTTTCCATCTCCCTGCTCCTGTCTGGCTGCAGCTTTCCTTTTGCCTGGCTGGGGCATTTCCCCCTCCTTCCGAGGAAGCGAGCTTTGAAAAGCGGCTGTGGGTGAAGTCACAGACGCTCGCCTCTCCTTGGTACGATTCTGCTCCCTGAAGCTAATATTGGGAGCTTGAGATCTTCGGCCTGGAAGAACCTAACCAAACCTTCCTTCGCCCACTCCCTGCTCCTCCAAGGTCATGTATAAGTTGCCACCCTGTTAGAGGGCCTAGATTATATTCTCCCAAGCATGGATGTGCGCGGCCGTCCCCGGAGCACAGCTTCCAGCATTCCTAGCCAGCTGCTCTGGGAGTCTGTTGCAGCCCCAGCAAACCTGGAGCGTGACAGGCTGGGGGAGCCTCCCCTCGCACGTTGTCAGAAGGCAGAATTCGTTTCTCTGCTCTCCCTTGTACTGGAGGGGGTCTGCACGGCACAGCCCAGGAGTGGACCGCTGGCTGATTAATCATCTGCTAGCCCATCCCCGGGCATTTGCACAAAGGGCATTTGGGTTTGACCCCGCAGAGGCCATCTCGAAAGGGGGTGCCTGGACAGATCCAGGAAAATAGGCTGTATTGCGACAGAGGTTTTCCCAGCCACAAAAGGGTTCCAGATGTCTCCCGGCACCGCTGGCTCTCCATTGATTGGGAAATCAAAGCCAGAGGGGCTTCTTCCAATTCAAAATGTGTACACGCTTGCTTCTGCTGGTACGGTTTGAGAATAAGGAAGGATAAAAGTCTGGAGGGGCAGAAGAGGGCGTGATTTGGGGGAGGGGAGAGGCCTGAGCCTTGTTTTTTGTGTTCTTCACCTGTGGTGGCCAAACCTTTTTTCGATTGCCCCTTGAATTCCAGTACCTGCTCCCTGCAGGCCAGTTTGCAAGTCCAGAAAGTGGGAATAACTGTCTGGAATCTGCAAATAAGTCTCTGTGATTTTTATTATTTTGTGGGGAGGGTTGTCCTAAAGCTTCAAGGTCCCTCCAGCTTTAGCCACGAGGACAAGTACCCTTTCGGGTTTTGCAATAGCAGATGCGGGGGAGTGTTTTTGGGTTGGGGCTTCAGGTAGAGATGGGTATCAGCTTTTGCTGGGTCTACCTGCGACCAAATCCTTTTCCAACTCCTCTCGGCAAAATCTGCAAGGGACGAGAAGGAGTGCAGGGTTGAGGCCACAGGACTGGTGTATTCCCAGGCCCAATCTGCAGGGGAAGTTCTCTTGCATTCCTCCCACCGAAATGAACCAGTGTACCGGATATTTGCAAGCCCACTTCCTCTGTAGGACAGGTGCTCTTAGGAGGCCAGATAGTGGAACCTTCTGCCAGGTATGTGCAAAAGAGATCCATTTCTTATGAAAGGGTGGGCGGGTCACCAGGATGTACTGGAGGTACTGCCCCCTCTTTCCTTCTCAAACCTCCCCCCACCAGACTGTTTCAATTGCAGTCTTTCCAGCCAAGAATCTGCTGTCACTCACAGTCTCGGCTTGCTGAAGCTCTGCGGGGAAGAATTATATGAGGACCAGCCTTTGTCCTCCATTCTCGGGGGGGGCCACAGAGGTGTTCCTCTGCCTTCCAAACTCCTTGCCTGCCTTCTGTTCTGTGGGCTAGGAAGATGCTCCTTATGTTGGGCAGCCCACTGGTAGTGAAGGGGGTCCCTGGCTGCAGCCCTCGTTGGAGAGAATAACCTTTGCCACAAGCCAGTTTTGATGCTCCCCTCGTAGCTCAGCCCTCTCTTGCTTGGATCAGCGTTTCTCCAAGGTGGGATCGGCCATTCCCCACTTTCACCCTGGACCAGGGAAGGAGGGCTTCAATCTTGCGGCTCCAGCAACATCTGGATCCCTGGAGGGTCGTCTTCCCCAGCTTTTGGCTGGAAGGATGGCATTGCCTCGGCCTAAAACTCTTGGGAAGCTGGGTGAGCCGTTGAGAAGGCCCGTTCGATGGTTTCGTTCCACAGGGTTCAGTTTCCGATCCGAAAATAAGAACATCCCTTTTTCCTGGCTGTGTGTGTCTGTGTGTGTGCGTAGGTACGTTTGTATACATGGATCGTAAAGTCACGTTTGCTTCGGCCGCCCCTCACGCCCTTCCTCTTGGGCTGCTGGAATTTGATCGCTTCTGACTGCGCAAAGGGATGGCCCCAATTCAGGAGATACTTTGCTAACATTTGGGGCCTGTTCTGCTCGCCCGAATTCCTCCCCGCTTCCTCCCTGATCTCTGGCATAATTTTTTTCCTCCTGGGAAGAAAACTGTCCTTAGTAGTTGTTTTCCATAAAGACCGTGTCCCCATTTTCTCATGGTCCCTTCCATAAAACATACTCTTCGCTTTCTTAATAAACATACTGTATGTACCCCGTGGGGGGGGGAGAGGTTTTTTCCCCCCCGTTATTCCTGCTGAGGACTATCCTTGTTTTATGAAAATAAATATTTCGCTACCTGCCATGGTGTGGCTGTGTGTTTGTACCCACGTTCTGGGCGTGCGGTGGAACCAGGGTGGCAGGAGAAAGTGGACGGCCTGACCCTTGGAGGTTCAAGGTGGAGGTACAAGGTCCTGGGAAAGGGAAGGGTTTGAGTATTTTACAGGTTGCTGGGCACCCCAGATCCTCTTGCTCTGTGACAGTTGTGTCTTTGGCATGGTGTTAAATCTAGCCTGGGACAGCCCCGCCAGACAGCTGAGCCCCACGCTCCACCAGCTGGCTTGGCCTGGTGTCCGGCTTAGTGTTTCCATCTGTCCTGGAAAGACCCTTCTCTTTTCTTACTGTCCAGACATGAATTTCTGATCTGTTCCAATCTAACAACGTTCCTCAGACCGACGGGAGACCGCTTGTGGCTGTGCTTCCCATCACTTCTAATTCTGCATTTCTTCCTAAATCTTCCCTTTTTGGCAGCGTAGGTATTGAGAGGAATTTGCTTTGGCCTTCAAACTCCTCCAGTAAGTTCCCTCCTTTGCGTATTTCTCTCCGAAAGTCTGTAGCCTTCTTTATACACGAAGGAACGCCAGTACGAAAGCCTTTTAGACCGTGCCGTGTTCGTTCACTGGGTCTAGAGCAGCATTTCTCCACCTTGGCAGCTTTAAGGCGACTGGACTTCAACTCCCAGAATTCCCCAGCCAGCATGGAAATGGCAGTGGGATGATCAGGGAAAGCGATGTTATTCCCCTTCATGAAATGGCAGGTTGTGTTTTGAACAAGACCAAACTCTTGGTCTCGACAGGCAGGGACGGGAGAGTCTGGAGCCGGCCAAGGAGGCTACCGCGTCGGACGTCAGAAGTTTGGATCACGCGTCTTAGGCGATCCTTTCCTGACCGTGCAATTAATGCTCTTTTGCAGATCTGCAAAGAGCCTCAGAAGGAAGCACCTGGCAGACAGACATACATGAAATCCGAATCATGATGGAGAAACAGACAAATATAATCTCTTTGCTGCAGTCTGCCCACAGATTGTTTTTCCTTTTTTAACCTCATTTTGGCTTAGATCATCTTCCCCCAACAAGCCTTCTGAGCTACCAGATAGAAACGGGCATCGTTCCCAGCCGTAAAGCGGGTCTGGTAGGCAGAATTGGAACTCCAGTTGCTTTTGCTCTTAAAACAGAAACGCTTTCTGGATCCACTCCGTTCTGAGACCCACCTAGTGGCAGGTCTGCCTATTCCCCAATTTCGGCTCCAGGCTGCTTTTGCTATATTTTCTCACGGTCCTGTGTGTGTAAAATATGCTTTGTGGGGCTTTTCAGCTCCCCCCCCCAGCCAAGTCCTATGAAGATTAAGGGAGCGGCCAGCAAATGGCAGGGTGAGGCTGTGCAGAGGCCGCGCTGCTTCCTCCCCAATTAATCCTGATTTCCTGATCTGCCCGTCTTCTCAGTCCCCAGGTTCGCCTTCCCAAACAGAGGCCCCTGCAATGCCAGCTGGAGAAAGCTGGTTTTGTTTCCAAGCGGGTCATTCGGAGCCCCGGCCGAACGTCTCCCCCCCTCCCCAACACGCACCCCAGTCCCAAAGCACCCTTTTCAAAAGGATTTACCTTCTCT